GTCTCCGGTTTCCACTCCGCTCTCAATGTACAAACACAAATTTACAATAAACAAGACAATATATATATAAAGAATAAAAAAGGGCAGCAAAAAATTAGAACGGATGTAGGTATAGACATTTAGCTATATACAATATAAGTATAAATATATATTCAAGAGAAAAAGTGTATATATATATACATGTGAAAATAAACCTATAGACAATGGCATGAATTATAAGTGGTGGTAATAGTGCAGTATAACTTATTTATTGTTCATGAGAGTGATGGCCAGTGGAAAGAAGCTGTTCCTGTGTCTGGTGGTCTTGGCGTACAGAGCCCTGTAGCGCCTACCAGAGGGGAGGAGTTGGAACAGCTTGTGTCCAGGGTGTGAGGGGTCTGCAGATATCTTTCCAGCCCGTTTCCTGACTCTGGAGGTGAACAAGTCCAGGATGGAGGGCAGGCTGGAACCAATGATCCTCTCTGCGACCTGACAATCCGTTGCAGTCTGTTCCTGTCCTGTTTGGTGGCTGATCCGAACCACACAGTGATAGAGGAGCAGAGAACAGACTGGATGATGGCTGAGTAAAACAGGATTAGCAGCTCCTGAGGTAGGTTGAACTTCCTGAGCTGGCGCAGGAAGTACAACCTCTGCTGTGCCTTTTTCCGGATGGTGTTGATGTTGGAGGCCCACTTCAGGTCCTGGGAGATTGTGGATCCCAGAAACTTGAAGGTCTCCACAGCAGACACAGTGTTGTTGTGTATGGTGAGGGGGGGGGGCAGTGTTGGGGGGCTCCTCCTGAAGTCCACTGTCATCTCCACAATTTTGAGCTTGTTTAGCTCCAGGTTGTTCTGACTACACCAGAGTACCAGCTGTTCAACCTCCCGCCTGTACGCAGACTCATCACCGTCCCCGATGAGGCCGATGATCGTTGTGTCGTCTGCGAACTTCAGGACCTTGACCGTTGGGTCCTCTGAGGTGCAGTCGTTGGTGTAGAGGGAGAAGAGCAGTGGGGAGAGCACACAACCCTGGGGGGCGCCAGTGCTGATAGTCCGGGTGCTAGATGTGATTTTTCCCAGCCTCACCTGCTGCATCCTGTCAGTCAGGAAGTTAGTGATCCACTGGCAGGTGGAGGCTGGCACAGTGAGCTGGGAGAGTTTGGGTTGGAGTATTGCTGGGATGATGGTGTTGAACGCTGAGCTGAAGTCCACAAACAGAACCCTTGTATATGACCCTGGGGAGTCGAGGTGTTGCAGCATGTAGTGCAGTCCCATACTGACTGCATCATCCACCGACCTGTTTGCACGGTAGGCAAACTGCAGGGGGTCCAGCAGGGACCCTGTGATGTCCTTCAGATGGGTCAACACCAGTTTCTCAAAGGATTTCATGACCACAGACGTCAGCGCGACGGGCCTGTAGTCATTCAATCCTGTGATGGAGGATTTCTTGGGGACCGGGATGATCGTGGAGCGTTTGAAGCAGGAGGGTACTTCACAGAGCTCCAGTGATCGGTTGAAGATCTGTGTGAAGATGGGGGCCAGCTGGTCAGCACAGACTTTCAGGCAGGAGGGTGACACACCGTCTGGGCCTGGTGCCTTCCTGATCTTCTGTCTGTGGAAGAGCCGACTCACATCCTCCTCGCAGAACCTCAGTGCCCGGTGGGGGGTCGGTTGGAAGAGGTGAGAAGGAGGCAGGGGGTGTAGGTGGTTGTTTGATGGTGGGGGGTGTGAAAGTGGGCTTATCAAACCTGCAATAGAAACAATTCAGGTCATCAGCCAGTCGGTGATTGGCCTCAGTGGGGGGGGGGATGGTCTCCTGTAGTTCGTGAGTACTTCCAGGCCTCTCCAAACTGACGGGGGGTCGTTGGCTGAAAACATTGATACCGTGAGGAGTGAACCCACCTTTGAACGCGGCGTCACGTTGACTGGAGATAGATCCTGTCGGCTGTTTCAGCTGCTGAGATCAGAGAAAAGGCAACAAGCATCCTCATCAGAGGCAATCATTGGCCGGAAATGTGCTCCTGATTATCTGCCGGGAGTGATTTTAAACTCATGCATGGACGTGGGTCAACATGAGCTGCCCTCACACACCGACTGCCCACAAAGGGCCAATCAGCCAGAGGCCCCATGCTGATATAATCAATTACCCAGGACTTTAATGTGAGGTGAAAAGTGAAGCTGCCCAATTAGTTTGATTTCTTCTCCCTGCTCGTATGAATAGCCTTTGGATAAGACACTGCGCCTGAAGGTACCCTGCTTTAATTGGTGTTTTTCAACCTGCTCAGTGTACCAGCTGAGTTGGGATGATTGGGTTAAAACAGTTTTCATGCTGTTAGCTAAGTTTTTCTTCATGGAGAAAAACAAAATGAGGCCCTTTGCTCTCTGTTTGATTCCATACAAGCTTAAATGTAATGAAATAATGTGTGTCGGCCCTAGTGTGAGCGAGCTCTTGTTTGTATTTATAGCGCATCGTGAATTTAAGTGAGCAGAACAGATACATATATATATATATATATATATATATATATACCAGTGGTGGGCCGTCAGGGCCTGCAAGGCCTTCTCTGCTGGCCTAAACAGAATCACAAAGTTATAGCTATTTTATAATTTATCTTAAATACACTACATGTATTATAATTTATAAAATTATTTTTCCCATTATCTTATTTTCTCATTGCACAGCTACTGTCTTCCTCAGTTGCTCTGCTTCCAGTGCAGCTTGTTTTAAGTAGAGCTTTTATCCAATCAGATTTCACCTCTGTGTCTCTAGGTAAGAAGACAGGCCCGAGGCCTGCAGAGTCTCAGGTGCAGCCAGTGCAGATTAAAGTAAATGGGGACGATATTGTTGATTGTCATAGTGTTCAACCAATCAGATCTTTAGTTTGACATGTTGGGCGTATTCTTTGACGTGTCAGAGCCTGCGAGCCGGCTTATAATGACGTCAGCATTACATGCCGCTCAGTGTCCATGTGTACGCGAGGTGCAGTGTGCTGTGATTGGTCAGTGGGCGAGCACGTGACTATCGTGAAACGAAACTTAACAGCAGAGGCTTAGTCGGGTAGTAAATCACGTCACGTGATGCAGCTCAGCCAATCAAATATGGGCATTCTGATGCAGCACACACCATGACACAGGGGGCTGAGACGAGGAAAGACATTGCAGAGCAGTCCGTTCAACGTTGAAATTGTGAAAGTAAAATCCTATGATAATCTCTTTGGGTCGCGGCTTGTCATTAAGGAATGATGGCGGATCCCACAACCAGACCAGCTGAGAACATTATATTTTCCTGAATTTAGGCTTTTGCATTTTCTAAATGCTCTAGCATTATTCAAACGACTCGTACCCAACGGTTTAATACGAAGATGTACATAGTTACAGCATTAAAAATGAATAATAGCTGTGGCGCCATAATGTGGTTATAAGGTGGTATTTCAGCTGCAGGACAACAGTGAAGGGCTAGGTATAAAATGCACGGCCTGCCACTGATATATACATATATATATGTATCTGTTTTGGGCTTTTCAGAAGACAAGGTAGGGAGGTAAAAGTTAGGAAAGGAAAGGTACCTAAAGGAGGATACATAAAGGCAAAACAAACAGGCCTGGGGTTGATAGGGTTGTTGACGAAGACAGCAATGAATGAGGACGATGGTATAAACCGGCGACTAGCATCACAAAACATTTGAGCTGCTGAAGGATAAAGCTGCTGTTACTCCTTATTGTCCATAATGTTTTAGTTAATTTCTTGATACTTTCCAACATTATTAGGAATCATTAGGATCCCATTGGTCCCTTGTGAAGATTTCATTCTTTAATAACAAAATGAATAGTTTCAATGTTTAATGTAGCAGGACGGTGTACGTTAGAGTTAGTCACATTAAACCACAGCGCTCATGCTCATCGTAGTGAAGGGAGATGTCGCCCGGTGCAGCAGTGTGGCTCGATGTGGCTTTAGATACAAACACCATACCTCTATGTGGGATCAACTCTCTGTTCGGTTTGTTCTCTGGACAGATAATGCTGACTGCAACATATCTCCAGCCTTATCCTGTGAGGCCACTGTAAAAAGCCCTGTTCTTCAACTCAGCATTGCTGTTGTGTTTCTCTTCACTGCCCCAGGCCTCGAGGACTGTTTGCTGGATCTCTACTACAACTAGTATGAGAGGATCAGAGGAGGCTTTGCCAGAGACTTGTGTACAGACAAATATGTTTGTTGATGTTTGTGGCACTTCCTGCTCGTTGCCAACAGTTTGATGAATGACACCGATAGATTACGAATGGCCCCTCTAAATTAGCTTTACTGTGATCTCCAATAACCTCCGCTGTTGCACGTTGTGTTCTGTTTGTATTCTGACTGTTACTAGCTCGCACCAATTGAACCGAGTGTGGCGCACAACAAGGTGACATTCTGTTTTTATTGAACGGGACATATTTAGTTTGCGCTCACACATTCTACATCAAGGACCACATTAGAGGAGTCTGTGAATTCACTGCGCCGTCCTTGAAGATGCATTATCTGCTCTTCCTTCAGCGATGGAAGGTTTGACGTGTTTGACTAATTGATGCTTGCATAATGATGGAGTTCTGTTTTTAAAGGCACAGAGGAGTTTTCAAATGGCATCAGCGAGTGTTACTAATGTTACTAGGAGGATGTTTCTCTAATTCGACACATGGAATCACAGCCTTTGTTATGACAGCCGTGGCTTCTGCTTACGTTGTGCATACTGACGTCTGTATGTGCAGCCCATTATTGTGAGGGAATCAAAGATGAACGGATTAGAATTTGATGGTCACAGGTCACTGTGACCTCACAAAATGACTCAATATTTCATCTGCTAATTATGACAATTTCACATAAATGTCTAATAAGATAAAATGATGAAGTGAAGGATGTAAACTGCGACTTGACTGCGAGGCAGTAATTCTAGTTTTATTAAATGTTCCATTATTAAAAGTACGCCTTGATGCAATCTCTCTCAACTTACATTATTCCGATTTCCATCCAAAACCAGTAAAAGTTCAGATGTTTTGTCTTTTCCTGAGCTGTGTCTTGATCGTCTTCTGTTATGACAAAGAAATTGGCTCTTCAGGTTTCTTACTGTACTCAAGACTGTTCTTGGAGTTGCACCTGAAGCTCAAATGTTTTATTGTTTGGTATTTTTCACATCGTAACCTGACCCGGTTCATTTGTTTCCCAGGTCCATGGGGAAGATGCATGGGCAGCGACTGCGGCCCGGGAGGCAGCCAAAGCCGGGCGGTCTGGTGTGCCCATGTGGAAGGCTGGACGACGCTACACACCAACTGTGACCAGGGCCAGCGTCCCTCCAACCAGAGGAACTGTTTCCGTGTGTGCGACTGGCACAAGGACCTTTACGACTGGCAACTGGGTGCCTGGAATGTGTGCGTGCCAGTTTCGGCGAGGACCTTATGGGCCTCGCGGCCGTTCACGTGCAGTGGAGGTGAGGAGGGCATTCAGACCCGGGAGGTGGGCTGCATACTCAAATCGGACGAGTCTCCAGCGGAGGATGCCATCTGTGAGTACTTTGAGCCCAAGCCTCGCCTGGAGCAGGCGTGTTTGATCCCTTGCCCTCAGGATTGTGTGCTTTCCGAGTATTCGCCATGGACGTCCTGCTCCAAAACGTGTGGAACGGGCCTCAGGAACAGGGTCCGCAGTGTCCTGGTTCCTCCACTTTTCGGGGGCGCGGTTTGTCTCAACCTAACCGAGTTCCAGTCCTGTAAGCCGGGGCCTTGCACGGGTCCAGAGGGCATGTACAGTCTCAGGGTCGGACCGTGGAGCCCTTGCGCCCTCCCACAGACTCGAACGGCACGCCAAGTTAAGCGCAGGAAAGGAAAAGGCCAGGGGCTCAGGGAGCGTGCCGGGGTCAAAGATCCAGAGACCAGGGAGCTAATCCAGAAGAAACGAACCAGGAACCGCCTCAACCGGCAAGAGAGTCCGTTCTGGGACATCCAGGTGGGCTACCAGACCCGGGACGTGACCTGCATACACAGGAATGGCAGCACTGTGGCTCGCAAGTGAGTGGCAACATTTTCTATGTTAATGTGAGATGAAGTTCATTTGTTTTGTATTTTTTGTCTCTTAGCACTTTTATACCCCACTTCAATTTTGTTGCTTCGGCAATGATGAGACATTCATTTCAAAATAAGGCAATTCTCTTCTATGTTCGAGGCATTTAGCAGAGATAACGCATTTATTGAATCTATATTAGTCTCATTTTATGTTTTTTCTTGTATTTATTGTCAACATTTCCATCCATCTATTTATATTTGTCACCAACTAAACTGCTGTACCTTCGACGTTTAGTTGTCCTCAAGTCGGTGCATTTCTAACGAGATGCCAAATCTGTCCTCCTGAAGGTTTTCTCTTCTCCCTGTCGGGAGGTGACACGCGGCGGAGGATGTTTACCGGCTGTGTGTTTGCCACCGCTGTGCCTGTCAGAGCAATGAAGCACAACTCACCACAGTGTATCTGATGTCAGCCTCATGGAAGTGGCAAAGCAACTCACTTTGTGACATGAGATCAATCTTAGTGTGTTACTTTTCAAAATAAGGCAATTTTCTGAGTTTTGTCCTCGAATGGATGTGTGATGACGTGTTATGAGAAATGATGATATGTTAAGAAGAGCGCCACTCAAAATGACTTCACTCGATAAGACATGAAGTCAAATTGCTACAGAAGATCTTCTAAAATAGACAACGGGAAGCTTTGGTTTCTGTATTTTAAGGTTAAGGTTACAACTTCTGGAGAAGTTTAAGGACCAGTTCGCCCAAATAACGGAATATAAAAAACAGGTTTTCTCACGTACCAAGCCATGTAGAAAAGGTAAGTTAAATGTCCAAAACTGTCTAAAAGGCTAGACAATGCTAAAAAAAAGTAGTTTCTCTGATTTAAGGGTCAAATGTGTGATGATAAGCTGCAAAGGTGTCAGTAAAGAAAATGACTCGAAAAGAAGCAGCCAAGGCAGAATGAGAGATTAAACTACAACAACTAAAATGTTAAACAGTATCAAGTCAAAGATCATTACCTGAATAGGTAATTGATTTAGACCTTCAGTGGGCACTCTTATCCTAAATACATGCTGTAATTATATACGAGTGCCTCCATTCGTAGTGTCGGTTAACCTCTGGCCCTGACGTTAGTATTGCTGCGAGCTACAAAGTCCCGTTCTCTGACTACAAACGAGACGCAGCAATAGCTCTCAATTCACTCTCATTTCTCAGCAGAAGTCTGTGCTTTAAAATGTGCATCAAACCTTTTACTTCCAAGAAATGAATCTGCCTCCAGCAGCAGAGAACCCCGTCACTGTAAAAAAAAAAACTCACAGACAGTTACTTTGTTGGTGTTATCCCTCATTAACCGCTCATTTGACCCACTTAAACCTAAAACAACAGGACGTTTGAGCACCTAGAAATCCACAGCTGCTGTCCGCTCTTCAGACTTTTGTTACGTTGAGGATGTTGATGACTTAATTAAACAGGAAACCATGAGTGATTCTGGTTCTTGCCACAACATGAATTGCTGTTTTTCATATTAACCCTCTGATGTTGATCGGCGATTCTTTTAAAGATGAATTCTTTCTGTGGATCTTTCATCTCTCTCTCTGTTCCTCGACTGACAGTAACTTAAAGATGTCACCGTTCTTCCCGAGGAACTTGGATTTGGGACTTTCGCAAGGTCTCTGATCTCCAGGAAAGAATCAGTGACAATGTCAGCAAAGCAAGCCACATCTGTCACATACGACTGTACTCCAGGATTTGATCAATTATGAACTGAATCTATTCATTAATGCTTTGTTGGCGCAGAGCTCTCAGCAGTGACTGGGTTCAAACATTTCAAAGGCAGCATGAAAACAGCCCCCATGCCCTTAGGAGCATAAATATTAATCCTTGACTTGTTTATGTCTCGTCCTGAAATATTAATAGTTGTTTTTGCCACTTTCGTAAAAGTGGAACAAACTTCCCAGTGAAGCGATAACCCAGTCGTTTCCTCGCCAGACGCGCTCTGAACATCTTTCTCACTTCATTTCCAATTTAGTTTGATGAACATCTGTCATTGAGCCGTTACTTTCTCCATCGTCCTGCGCTCATCCCAAACAGGGCCCCCTCCTCATAACGCTGCTGGGGTCGTATTAATCGAGCTGTTAATTATTCTGCTGTGCCACATTACATCATTGAATTAAAGGGTCATTTTCATTCGCCTTTAGGGGCTCTTTAATCACTCGACCCACATGGAATTATGTTTTTAGACCATTTTATCGGCTGTGTTTTAATGCAGCTCAAGTAATGAGCCTACAAGTGTGGAAATGTGGAAACTTTCTGACTGCTTTTATTTAGTGTGGGAGCCCTCGGACTCCATTGTCGCGAGTCGCTGCTGTGTGAAACCTACAGGCTTAGAAAAGAGCATTTTCCAGACTTCCTCTTACTTATTTAAATAGGGAATGATTGTGTCCTCATTCTGTCTGGATGACTGAGATGAAGAAATAATGACTCCTTTCTCCCGCAACTTTGAAATCTCCACCAAAATGTTCAGGCATGCACACAACCAGCGGAGAAGACTCAAAGGATCCACATGCAGCGAAAAGAAATGGGTCATTGGCTGCATTAGGGGCTTTTTTTAAGAAAAACATCTGTGACAGGAAATCCAGCCATCGCCCTCATGCATCACATTCACTGTTAAAATTCCTCTTTGCAAAAACGACTCCGGTGCACTCAGAGTGCTTTGTGGAAAATCTTAATTCTGTATTTTTTTTTGTCGGTGTCACTTCACTATCCACTTCAAAGACTGCAGAGGTGTTTTAATCTGCAAAGAGAAGAGGAGAAAGAGACAACATACTCGGCTCATACATTTCCTCATCTGTACCCAGAGTCTGAGTCGCTGGAGGTGAGGTGTGGCGGCGACGTCTAAATGAGAGGTTTCTAAATGAAGCAGAGCCGTAATTAGCACTAATAGCTCGTCAGCTGCAACGCCCCGAGGGGAAACACATCCACACTGAGGAGAGGAGAGCGGTCGGCTTTAGTTAGAACACATTTCTAATGATTCGGAAGGAGCCCAAGGAGAGGACGAGTTATTCATTACATCTAAATGTATTTACATGATCAAAAGATGTGCGCCAGCGATTGATCGGAGGTTGTTTTTGGTTTTACTTAAGACTTCCACACACGACATGCCACACCACTCCTGTTTTACACTGCTGTGTGTGTGTGTGTGTGTGTGTGTGTGTGTGTGTGTGTGTGT